CTATAGATTTGTATGACACCATGTCTCCTGATAATAAATGTTTATCTTGAGATTCAATTCGTTGACGTCCACATTTTTTGCTACTAAAATTCCCCTTTCTGCCAGCCACTCATGATTTGTGTATTGTCTGTGTACATTGGAAAATATCTGGTCAATGAGAGCATCTTACGAATAAATGATTGTGCAGAAATCAGTCGGTAATTTTATACATTCCGTTTCAACTGTAGTAACTTTCCCATCTCCAATATCTAACAATTGTTTTGAGAATCTTCTGCATGCAGCTTTTTTTGATTAAATCGCAAGTATCAAAATCGTTCGCTCTCTATCTTTACATACATTTCGACCATGAATTGTTGACGAAGCTCATGATATCGTAGAATAATTTTGTCTTGATCGCGTTTAATCATCAACCGATATGCATAATAATTTTTCGAACTAACATTCTTATTTGTTTTGACACCTGTTGCGGGATTTTTTTTGTTTAATATTTATGCAATACCCGTCATTTACTACTAAAAATAAAATTAATAGTTTTTAAATGGTTTTTTTTTATAGTTTTTTAATAGTTTTTAAATAGTTTTATTTAATAATTCATTTTCAATTGTGCAGTTATCGACCGGGTCAAAAATTATTAAATTAAACTATGATTTATTAAACAATAGCACTTTTCCAAAAAAAATTTTCGTAAAAACCTTCTCCTGGCAATCACAAACAATTAAAAAAAATTTGAGCTAAATCGGCCCAGCTGTTCTCAATTGATGAAATGTTATACATTTTTGGCTCCATTTATATATATATATATAGATAACTAATAACTAATTATTTATTAACTTTATCTTACTAAATTTACGCCTAAAACCTTCTCTGTGATGTCCTCTTTTTTTAAAAAAAAAACTACACGACGATCCAATAAGTAGTTTCAGAGTTTATCCCGAACAAAAAAAAGCGACTTCATTTTATATAGTAGTATAGATATAGATAGATAGATATAGATATATTAATAAATATTTTTAAAACTATACTAAAATGCTTGAATTACGTTTAGAAACTTGGTGGTAGATGGTGGGGGAGGTTAAGGGTGAATTCTCATATCCTCTCTTACCTTACTTATCCAAAAAAAAGTGGTTAGCCCCCCCATTTAAAAATCCTGGCTACGCCACTGGTTGTCACTTATCTGTTTAATTTTTAAATTTTAAATTAACTTATTATTAGTTATTACAATAACTTTAATAATGTCTGATGACCTAACAGACTCTTAACAGCGTGGGACTTATGTGTTTTTAAATATATAGGTAACTATAATTTTTAAATATTATGAAATCGGCTAATTTAATCAGTTGCCCCACCCTTTCAAAAGTTAAAATGATGCCTCTGATCTGGACATGTTTTTAAAGAATAACAATGTTACACTAAACTTACTGATGATTCGTTTATAGTGTTGGTACTTGGTAGTATTGAATTGAATTGCTGAGTTACTGATTTGCGACACATTGATTAAATTTATTAAATTCACTGAAAAGAGTCGACTTTTTGAATCACTTACTCATGAAATACATATCCTTATTATATAATTAACGTTGGTCAATATTATACATTCCGAAAAATAAAATAAAAAATACACTCAATAAAAGTTTCGCTCCTAAAACTTTTAACATTTTGCTTTTGAGGGTATTTGCCACTTGACCCTTCTAAATGCGCGACTGACAGTGAGGATCCTTTTCGTTTTTTTAGTTTTTGTAGCAACAACAAAACAACAACGACTCGTTTGGTCCTTATCAGGTGTACTGATGTTGTTTTCCTTTCATTTTTTTTACATCAAAATGTAGTCTATGTTCTTCTTCAAGGTCTAATATATCTCTGTACCAAATTTCATCAAAATCTATTAAATAGTTTAGGAATACATTAATGACATAGGTAGAAACAATTGTTATGTGTTACAAATGTAGATTATAAATGGATAAATGGAGTTTACTCGATATGATTATAAAAATAAAAAAATAAAAAAAATATTGTATTATATTAAAAATGGGCGGAGAGATGCCTGCTGGGTCCACTCATTGTCTTGAACATCAGTTCGCAGTATTTTTTGAGGGGATGAAGCTCCGCCCTAAGAAGAGATAGAATAATAGTTCTCTACCTGTAATAATAACCTTGATATTGTTGTAGGTGGGTTAGTGTATACTAAGAAAATCTCGCTTACAAAATTCTTCCTGATATAACTGATATTCAATACAGACAATCAAAATTAAAAAATATTAAAAAAAAAATTTCATTGTTAGATGCGAACAAGCTGAATTTTCTAGATCAAAATTTGTACTAGCAGGTTTTCATTGCACATTAATCACAAACTAGTTGTCAATTAGTAAGTAAAAAATTCTGTAAGTACGCAAACGAGTATTTATCATTGAATTTTGGTTACGACCATAAGCGTACGCATAGGAGATGCCAGGTGTACCCGGGAACTCCTCGAAATGCTATATATGAGGTCCTTAAATTTAAGTTTAAAAGTAAAAAGCCCGTATTTTAATTAATGTCAAACAGATTAATTTTAAATTAAAATTAAGTATTGGATAAATTATAAATTATGTTTTGTAATAGAAAAATAAAACTAAATTTTCTAAATTTTGAAATATAAAAACTTATTATAATAATAAACGATTTATTATAAAAGTACAAATCATAAATAATTGAAGGTATCTGAGAAAAATATACAAGATTTAAGGAAAACATATTCATTGCGACTAATATATCATAATATTAAATAAAAAATTAAAATTATGATTTTTTAATTATTAATGCATTATAATTTATTAAATATACTTATTCGTTTTGTTAAGATACTACAAGTATTATAAGTAGCCCTGAAATACAGGTCTACGCACGCCTATCATTGTTTATTTCAGACGTTCTATCCCGAGGGGGTATCGAACATTTTCGAGGGGGGGTATGTAGTAAGCGGTATGCTACTGGAGTAAATAATTAATAAATAAATAAACTCTTTCGAAGTGGAATACATTTTTCTTTGGGAGGTAATACTCCCCCGGTCAACCTTCTAAAATAAACTCTGACACCTATGGTAATGACACAAAAATATAATTAGAGCATTTAGTAGTTTTTTTTAATTGTCAAATAATGGCACAAAAGGCTTCAAAAGAAATGGTTTTAAAATAATATTTAATTTGTTTGCGCTTCGTGTGAAAGTGCATTCTATATGTATTATATTCAAATTTCAAACAGATTAATCGACATAAAAACGATTCCCGATGGAAAAATTATACCAACTCAATAACCCTATCAATATCGCAAACAAAATGTTAAGTTCAAAATCATGAAATACTTAAAAGTATCTAAAAAATTATATTATCACTATTATTATGTAAAACTGAATTTTATTAAATGTCCAAGTTCTATGTCAATGTTTGAGGTACAGAATGGTTTAAATTTAACTTATTCTGTGCTTAAGTTTTTTTAAGATAAAACCATCCATTGTAGTATGTTTAAATACCGCTATTAATTAAAAATTAGTCTCCTTAGCCCTGAAAATTGTAAAGTGACTAAAAATACAATAATTATTATAATTGTAAAATGCATTTTTAATAACTGAATTAAAAAAATATATTCTGTGATAAAAATTAAATCAAATTCGTAAGATTTTACTAACTTATTACCATGACTTGAAACGATCGTTATTAATGTAATATTAATAATAGGTATGTAATAATACCTGCATTTGTTATTTAATTTTATTAATTAATAATTTCTCTTTAGAATACCTACTCCAAAAATGTTTAAGATAAGGCACCTAATTGGTTTTTTTGTTAAATTTTTGAATATGTCAAATTATTAAACTATGTAAATTGCCTTGTTGAAGTAAATAATTGCGTAGATAATTGCGTACAGGGGTACCTATAGGTGTAATAAGCAAATAATGCTCAGCCCCCCCTCACTTATTTCACCATATTTCCGCTTATGTATATAGTATAATTAACTATATGTAGTCGTATTTTTACTTTTTAACATGTATATATATATGTGTCAGTATTGCACGTTCTTAAAATTGACAATTTAACTACATAGATGTATATAATAATATATTATATTCTATTATAAGTAGTTACATACATTTTATTCGTGTATACACTGTATTATGAAATATGTAATATTTGTTTTCCGTAAGTAAAATAAGGTCCTTCTAGGCTATAATGAAACAAGTCCGATTGCCGACTGGTGTTTTCGTTGGAGGGGTAAGACATCCCCCCCAAGACCCCCTCGGAATGGCTCTAACTGGGTAAATATCCTGTTTTGGCTGTTATGCACAATCGGTTCAAATATTTATATAACATTGTAATTATTTTGCCGTTTCAGTAGTGTAACAAAACTTTTAGTTAGTCCAAGTAAAGAAGCGTAGCCTCAATTTTTAGCTTAGCTTGGTTGATTTTTAATAACTCTTACACAAAATATCAGCCTTAAGACACGAAACCGGAATAAATTTACAACAGTTCAGACGGCGATATCGCTACCTCGGTTGTTCCACCAGGAACTGCCCCCTTGTCACTGGTGTTCTCCTTATTCTACATTCGTATCTACTATCCAAGGCTTAACCCGTAAGGGCTGAGGCGCACATGATCTTCCCCGTAGATTTGAAATTCATCCCCATTATCAAAACTCGAATACAACCGTCACAGGCAGATCGCAGAAGTCATTTACGTCGCAGGCGACCAAAGTTAACAGGTGGGCTTTCGCGTACGTGAGATCGGCGCGTCGAAAGTGCGATCCCATCAGAGAAAATAATAATCAATAACGCCGTGCGAATGTCGCACGGTACAATTACAACGCGCCACATAACTGGACACGGCCATACGGGTGGGCCGAACACGTATCGATAATGTCGTGGCGTGCGGTGACGGCCGTGTACGGGGTTACGCACTGCGACTGCGCACATCGCCGGTATTATTATTTGTTAGCGGCGGTCGTAGCGAGCTACCGACCACTACGGACGTCTGATAATCATCATGGCGTCATTTGCTGTTCGCCGCTCGGGACTGCAACAAGTTCTTGTGTCTTTCGTTTGCTGTTCGGCGTCTGAAACGTGAGTTATTATTTTGGTTCTGTTATATCACACGCACCATTATCGCCTGATAATTGTATTTGTTTTCTATTTTTACCCATTCCAATCGGTTTGAAACCTAGACTGCTCGTCTTTCTTTGCCAGCGGTGTTCGAATCCTAGTAACTTTTTGTTCATGTTTTCAACAGTTCTAGGTTTCATTTTATAAATATCAAACGTCCTAATGTTTTTATTATGTTTTTCCATATTACTGTCTAGTAAACATTATAATATGTACAAATAATTTATGGGTAATTCGATTAACGGAAAGAAGAATAATCTCTGTGTATTTATTGAGTACGAATACGACCCGGGAAAATAATTAATTAGCATTAATATGTTTTATTATACATAAAACTATGTAAATATTTAATTGTACATTGTAGTCTCGAATACTGTGTTTATGAAATGTTTTTCTTTTAGATTCTAGTGGCATTGATTTGATTTTGGTGACTTAATTCTCCATATTAAATTCATTGTTACCAAACTGTCTTAGGATGCCTAAGAGAGGCAAAGAATCGAGATCATCAAGTCGTCATTCTGGTGGTCAGTTTTCACCTCCATTGCCATTATCATCTAGACAACCTAGAAATGATTATCAAATTGCTGGACCCTCACGAATAATGTAAATATACAGAAAATATTTATTTTTTCAATTTCTTTTGGTGTTTTTTTTTTTTTAATGCTTAAAGTGGGTTTTTCTTTTTTACCTTTCATAATTAACAATGGTGTTTCATTAAAAATCGTGAAAAATGTATAATTTTTGATTATGGTATTTTGCTCAATATTAATTATCTAATGTAACATTTTAAAATGTAGTACTTTATGTTTAATACTTTATATCTAATGTTCTAATTTTGTACTCATTTTATGATTTATTAATTTTTTGATCTCAACATAATTGATATTTGATCATGAATGATCATTTATACATTTATTAACATACATTAACCAGTAAATCAAATAATATTCAATATAAGTAGAAAATATGAATTAATAGGATTGTTTTTTATTTGAATTTTATTGATACATTTATTTTAACAATAAAGTTTAGTTTTAATAATTTTTTGATAAACATTATTTGTTTAGTAAATAAATAAAATAGGGTTTTATTCATTAATATTTTTAGAATTATTTAAATGTTAATATCATATGATTCTTTACTAAGGTGTTAAGGAATACAATGTAAATATCTATTTAATTATTATAAAGTATGTATAAACATTTAACTACAATCATTTTCTTGATAATATTATATTTCTTGATAATTTTCGAGTATTTTTATTGAATACTGGTTTGATATATTATATTTTTCAGCATAGATATTATTTTAATAGTTTTTAATATCATGTATACTTTTCAAGGGAAAACAAATAAGCAGTAGTTACAATAATACTTATTATCTTAACATTCTTATTTGAAGCAACTTTTTTAATTTTAACTTACTTTCATTAGTTATGTATGTACAATTAAGTTAAGTAAAAATATCTGACTATGGATAAAATAATAAATATTTAACATTCCATGTGCAAATAATACAATTTATATTTGATTATTGAAAATTATGCAAGTTTTAATTTGTTTCCACACATAATCATATTTGTTACATTAAAATATATTTTTGATCCTACTAAATTTTACTTTTTAAAAGCTACTTATGTATCACATAGAGTAACTTATGTCATTGTGGACATATTAAAATGTTCAAATAATTAGAAATCATTCCTCCAGTACTCATAAATAATGAGCTCACTAATGTAATTTATTTTGGATAATTACAAACTTTGATTGAAGTTTCATTTAAATTTTTTTATTATGAACTTTTGGAATTTATGAAACAGTTCATAAAATAAATTAGAATTATATACAATTAAATGTTTTTTATGAAACACATGTTGTATATTATTATTTTTTTTTTTTTGGAAAACAGACTTTTTGTTTTAAATCTATAATTTAGTGATTTAATAGTTATGCATTTTGTATTCATATCTGTATTCAGTACATTAATTAATTTTGAGTCAATTATATTTGAAGTTCTATTCTGATTTGTAGTTCTTATTTGAATAGTTTTATGGTAAAAAGAATAATTATATAATTAATTAAATAAAACATTTTTACTCTTAGAATACCTTAATATATATTCACCCATTTATATATATATATATATATTTAAAGAAATACTGTAAATATATCTTATATTACAAGTAAGACTTTTTTAATTAAAATATTGAAACAATTATTGAACCTGGTTTTATATAAACGTTTAAATTAAATAAACTCATTTTTCATATTTTGATAATTTATGAAAAATGTAATGATTTATTATTTCCAAGTTGTTAATTATAATAATATGATTTTTTTGACATTATTATCTAAATGTCAGTTTAATTTTTAGTTTTTAATTATGTTTTTCTTAATTTTATTTTTTTTTTGGATCAAATGTATAATGACTTTTTTTTAAATGTATACCATTATGGTAGTATATACTTATTTTTGGTTCTGTTATCTACAATTTTGTTTTTATTAAATAAATACTTGTAGTATTTAGTTAAAACAATAATACTTAATAATACATTTGAAACATTAATATTTGAGTGGGTAATTTTAAAATTACTTAAAACATTTAGTTTTGTAAATTTTTATTGACTAGTATTTTTAAATTGGAATTTTTTAAATAAATCTTATAATATCTATTTTTAGACAAAAATATCACCATAATACAAGAACAATAAATTACAAAGTAACTCAAATTATAGATGTTTCAAAAAATAAATAATAAATAAATTTATTTTAATGTCTCATTTAACAAATAATACCTATGTTGAATTTTGTTGGTACACTGTTTTTATTTAGATTTTTTGAAATAAAACCAACTACTTATGTCTTATAATCCTAAAAAAGGTTGATAATTATTAATGACATTTGTGAAACTACATTTATTGTAATTTTTTAAATGGTTATTGACTGATAATTATAATTTAAAATGGAGTAATTCTAGTTTAGGAAAATTATCACTCAATTTCAAAAGTAATAGGTATCAAAAAATCTATCGAAAAACATGTACCATGTAAATTCTTGTTGGTAATTAATTTTATTATTGATATAGGCTTTTTTTTACACTAAATAAAATATTGTGTGTCGCTTTAGGAATATAAGTAATAGTCCAATCGTACTAACAGATGATGATGATGATGATGAATGTTATAAGAATGTAGATTCTTCAATGAATATATTTCGAGAAAATGGAAATAAATTGAAACCTGATTCAGGCGAATGTACACGAATAGTGAAACATTTTGTTCCTTCTGCTGATAGGTATGAATATATATGGTAGTAATTAATTTTAGAGTAAAACTTATGTGTTATAGTATAAGCTAAATAGTAAAATAGTTTAAAGAATTTTAATGTATTTGAAAAATTGATGTATCTATAATTTTTCTAAATATGTTTTTAAAATGTGAATTTCTCAAACTTGTTACATTAGTCTATTAATGAAAGATATATATATATTTTTTTTTTACAATTATTTTTCTACAGTAATATTTTAAATAAATACTGAAAGAGCTGATTATCTATTTAGATTTTGCTGAAGATACTGTTTTTGGTTGGTCATCATATATTTCAGTTAAACAGTAATTTCTAATATTTCAATAATCTTCATTTAATAAAATAATAAAAAAAATTAATTAAAATTAAAAATTAGTAAATAAATAAATAAATAAATGCTTTAACTGGAGTATTATTATATTTGTAAAGTATGACCGGTTTCAAACATAATAATACAAGCTAAGCATTTATTTTTTTTATTTATTTATATATATCAATTATTTGTCGAATAAAACATTAATGTATATTAATTTAATATAAGAAAAAATTATTTTTTATAGTGTGAATATTAGATTATATTTTATAAAAATATCTTATTCATCAAAATTAAAAATAATATTTAACAATTTTCTATGGATATGACTTTAATTAATTTTTAAAATTCTCTACAATCCCAATGTCCAATGTTGTAAGTTAATACTAAAATTAATATTTTATTTATATAGAATTTACTGGCTTATCATTAAATTATATTACATGTAAAAATATTGAATTCAAATTCTGATTTCTGTAAATTTTAAAATTTAATATTTGTAAATAAATTTGCTTAGAGTATAATTTTAGTTTTGCAATTATTATAGTGTGGCTATGAACTAATTAGATTTTTCCTCAGAAAAAAATGAGCAAGGATAAGAATTATAAACGACTTTAGAAAAATGCATGTTATATTAATAAAAATTATTTCATTATTATTTAATTAGCTTATTTAATTAGAGTAATATTCAGTTATTTTGTAAACAAAATGCATGAATTCGTTAGAAGGTTGAATTATATGTAACTAAATATTATTGTTTTTATTTGGTAACTACAGCTTTTGTAATTTAGTATTTATGCTTTTCACTAACATTTTAATTAATGTATATTTTTAAATATCTCAGATTATTTTCATTATCATAATGAAATAAAAGATAATATAAAAGTTTTTTTTATGGTTTCACCTACCTTTGATTAATAGATAGAGAGTATTAACTATTTTTGAAACTAAAATTATATTGTTTTAAAATGAAAAATTTATATTTAGTACATAAAACAAATTTAAATATTACTTGTTATTTTATAAGTTGTATTAATAAATATTATATTTGTTCATTAAAAGAGATTTATATGAGCAAAAAAATTATTTTGAATCCTTGTGGGTGAGCAAGTTAAGTGGCTCATATAAAGTGTGTTTAAACGTATAGGTTCTGTTTCAAACCCTAATTCCAGCGTTTTGCTTTCTTTGCAGGATAACCATCTTAAAAAAGATGCATGAGCATGGTAAGTTTTTATAGTCCCTAACAATGTTAAATACTGAGGTTAAATATTATCTGATGTTTTAATTATCAGGGTGGATTATGGCGATAAAGCATATCTTCAAGTTGTATTTTTAGTATAAAATGTATTAAAAATTATCATTTATGTTACTTAAATATCACTCCATTATTACAACTGTTTCTCAATGGCCATAATTGCCAAGCTTAGATCAATAATATAAAAAAAAAAAATTTGTCTACTTTTTTATTTGAAAACCACATTAAAAAAAAAAAAAAAATAATAAGAAAGCCATACTAAACAAGTTTTATATTTATTATTTATTAAGTTTTATATATTATATTGTGCACCATTTATGCATGTCTGCTAGTTGAAAAATTTAAGTTTTAAAATTTAAATATTTAACATTCACTTATGATATATATGCCTTGTTAATAGTAGAAAGTCAAATTTATATTTTGATATAACTGAATGATCAATATCTCCTCCAATTAGTAATTGCTGTGTTATTTTTTAAATTATAGTGTAATTTTATAACATTTACATGTATTATTTTTTAGATTTAAGAAAGTAAAAATCTTAAAAAATGTTAAGTGGTATAAAATGGCTTTACTTAACTAGTTGTAAAGTTTATTTTGAAAGCAATCATTTTTCTTGAATTTCGAGATGAAAATTGTAATGTAAAGATATACAAATTTTTTGGCTAAATTCCAATAATATATTTTATTTTAAAAATAATAAAATATTCTCAACTAAATTTTATGTCATAGCAATTTAATAAATAGTTATATTTAATAATAGATTAAGTAGGTAAAAAAAATAAACAACAAATCAATATTTTTAAACAATTTTTATAAAATATTTTATAAGAGATAGAACATCATCATAAAGCATTATTGGATTAGTTTAGCATTTTCTTCAATATGCATGTTTAGTATAATCGGCTTTATGTCTATTTTTTTAATCATTAGTCCAATTTACACATTTTGTTTTATGTTCATGGCTTTCAATAAATCTAAAAATAAATAATAAATAATAATGCACATGTTACAGTTTATTGATCAATCAACAATGGATTAAATATAAATTAATGTAAATCTAACTGATTCAATTTATAATTGTTATATTGCATGATGTAATTAATTTTTAATTGAAATCCTCAGTGTTAAATTGTATTACAATTTGAATGTATTTATTTATTTATTTTTATTTCATTTTTGTGTGCTTATTTTGTCTTAGGTACCAAATGTCACAATGTGCTACTGATAAACCAAGATTTAGAGGACCCGAAACTGATGTATTGCATGACCTAGAAAAGGATAAATTAAAAAATATTCGTGTACAAATGATTCGTGCTGATGTGCAACAAAATGATTCATTTCGAAAAGCTTATGTTATTGAAGAATCAGCTGCTAGTAGATCAAAAGGTAGGTACTATTTATTCCAAAAATGGTATTTTCATATGTTACAAATTAACTTAATTTAGAATTTGTACTTCCAATTATAAAAATTCCTTCAAATTCCATTAACATTGGAAAAATCATTGATTCATTAAGAATTATGTTATTATTTTTTACAGTTGGACTATGTTTTGCCTAAGCGATTCAAGGAATAATATTTAAAATTTTTACTTTTGGTATTGAATTCCATGATTTGAACTTTCATAAATTTGAGTAATTAAATCAATTGATAATTTCTTTTAAGGTTATTCTATTATTTGGCACATTAATAATTTTTTCCATTGCATTGATGTGATAGATTTAATAATTTTTTTATACATTCATTAACTTTTACTATTGTATTTATTTCTGTGTTTTGTGTTCATCGCATGTTATAAACTAAACATGTAATACTGATATATTGTTCAAATTATCAGTAGATTCTTAATATTTCAGGTTTTAATAGTAATTCAACTTTTCAGTAGGGTTAATCTTATCTTTTTACATTAGTTTAATGACGTGCAGTGTCAGAGAAGTAAGAATCATTGTGTTAAATACATATATTTCAGAAAAGTAACTTCTGTACCTACATTATTATTAAAATATAAGTTATTTTTCTTAAAATAAATAACTTTCATTCAAATAAGTATGTTTATTTCTGCAATAAGTCACACAACACTATTTTTAATTTAATTTAGGTTTTATAGATATTTTTTTATTAATAGCTTAAATGGACTGAAAAGTACTTATTTATATCAATTTTTGTCAAAAATTTAACTCATTTTTTCCTTATTTTGATTATTATAGAGTAATTATTAACTTTATTATAATTAATAAGCAAATTAAAACTGGTAATTGTATTTATTAAATTATTTTTATGATTATTAAAATTTATTTGTCTTAAATTCAAAATAATTATTTTAATTTATATGAAACATTAAATCATAATTAATAATTTATTAGAGTGGCTTCAAGTCAACATACCTTATTACTTAAACATTAGTTCTTAATTATTTTCTACTTACAATGATGTTTGTTTGTTATATTGCTAAGCATTGGCAATCAAGAGTCAAATGGAATCTGCTTTTACAAAGGGTATTGAAAATTCCAAAATGATTAATCATGATATTTATCTAATGATACATATATATGTATGTTATCAACAAATTATATAGTCTGTTAAAATTGGGTTATTAATATATGAATGTTTTTATATTTTAGGCTAATTAGCATAGTATTTCTTATCTTTAAATATATGTCAAACATACATTTTTATGGTGTTAATTTATTACATAAATATGTATTTATGTCAAGTTAAGACCTATCTAAAGATTAATATAAACTTTCTTGTTTTAAATGAAAAAATATAGATCTTTAACTTTTACCATATGGCTCTCATAGTTTTTTTTTATTAGAAGATATCAGCAGCCGAGGTATATTTTTTCACAATTTTATCAATCTAGCCTGTTAAAACTTTTTAAAGGGGAGGGGAATTTCCTTCTTCATAGATTTATTTCAATCAGAAAAGGAAGACCACTGAAGGCAAGTATAAACTGGTGGTTGGGCATATTTAGACACAGGCACTCTGACGCTCCCCTGATTTTCATAAATTCATTGTATAACATAATGATTATTTAATATTTTTATATGAAATCTATATATCATCGTCTGCGGTAATAAATCTCCTATGTCAAAAATTGCTACTTTTCAGTAGAGACAAAACATTTGACTATCTATCCCCAAACGGCACTAATATATACACAAATGACAATACCTCCAATGTGATTGCCAATCATATTTTTATTTACATTCAAGATATTCCAGAAATGTTTATGATTAGCCCTATACAAGGGAGATTATTTAATTTATATTTCATTAAATATGGAAGAGAGATAGCACATAGGAGTTTTATTCATATTAAAGATAATTTTTTTTTGAATTTATTGATACCAAAATCTCAATTTGGTAATTTTACATATAAGAGATTTATTCCGTGGACAACGATATGTTATGTATTTGAACAGGTTATTAGTATAAAATGTATTAAGTATGATCTAATAATAATCTTGTAATTAATATAAATATTTTCAGTATTTTAATGTTTAAATTTAAAATATACTAAATCGTTAATGTAATATTATTAAATATTATTTGTGAAAAAATGAAAATGTTACTTATTTATGCATTAAAAATGGTGTAGGATATATTTTTATAAATTCAAAATGTATTGATTTTATTAATTTTATTTATAAAGCTATTAGTTACCTATTAGTTTTAATCGTATATATTTTCAAAGCTGTTGCCTTTAAGTAGGTACATTATTATATTTTATTTATACTTGGATGCTGTATCTCCAACTCACTTCCTTTTATGTGAAAGTATGGTAATTATGGAAAGTTAAATGTTGTATTATATGTAAAAGAGATATATAATATAAAATAATTTTATATGATAAAAAGGTCATACATCTTTAAAGAGATTTTTGTCTAACATTTTTAAAAATAAACAAATTTATAGTTATTAGTATCTAAAAATTGAAGATGAAAATTTAAAAAAAAAAAAATTTGAAAATATAGAAGAGCTTACTTGAAATAAAATTACTATATTTTATCAAAAAAATATGATCAATTGTAACAAAAATATTTGTACCCAGAGCTAATGGATTGCACAAACGAATATCCTAACTAAACAATTATTTATGAAAATAAAATCAAACTATTAAAATTTGATGAATTTGAAAAAAATCAATAAGTAAAAAATCAAAGAAAATTATGGAATATGTTTACTTGTTAAATGTTATTGAGGCGTAATATTTATTTTTAATTATCAAATACACAATTTAGAGTGGTTACTAATCTACTTTTATAACACATAACAATTTGAAAAATTAGTAATTTATATTATTTAAAAAAGTAATGAACCACAAAAAAAATTGATGAAGTATTTAGATTATTAAAAGATCTTTTTATTTTAATATACTGTGAATTAAATTATATGATAAAGAGTGTAATTTTCAATTTATTACTGGATGAAAAATACTTATATGAAAAATAGCCTATGAAAAAATGCGCTTAAGAAATTTCACGTTATATTTATATCACAGATTTAAAAAATATATTATTCAAATGTACATAATACTATTATATGATGATATATTATATAATTGACTGAATTTAATTTGATACATTTACTGAATTATTTTTTTAAACCAGTGATTAAAGTTAATATCAACTTGTTTTATTGGACAAAAAATTATTTTATAATTCACTATTAAGTTTATTTAATTAAATTTTTTTGTGGGTTACTAGTTATGAAATATGTAGTATACATTTTAAAAGTCTAATTGATGGAAATAGAGTTATTTAAGGATTTTTATTTGTTATGTTACATTTGTAACTATATTTAGAAGAACTGAAAATGTATTGAATACTTTGTTTAATAGCATACAACATAATATAAACTTATTTTTATTTATTTTATTTTACATATCTTATTTTTTACTTTTATTTTTATTTTTGTAAGAAAAATGTACATAGAAACTATGAACATAAATCTTCATCAATTGGTCAATCTAAATAAAGACCAATTTGTTTGACAGTATATGAAATATGTACACAGTAATGATCTAATCAAACATATTTTTTTAATATATTAATTTTTATAAATATTATAAACATTAAATTATTTGAAATTTCTAAATATTTAATTACTTTTATTAATAAAAAAATCTTATATTTCCATTAAATGAGAATATAAAATTGTAAAGTTTTCATTATTTATATTTTATTCATATATCATGATTCGCTTATTTTTCACAAACAATTTATTTTAATTAGCTTTCCATTGTTATGCTTTTTTAATTTAAAGTTAAATGATTAAATTGTTGTATGAATGCTATTATTGAACAATATATGTTGTGGATATGAATATTAAATATCATTTGAAGATATGGATAACTATGATAGCAAGAAGTTTTTACTGATGTCAGATAATTTTCATTATTGTTCAAGACGAAGTACACTCTGTAGTTCATACTTCAACACATAAGATCATAGGATAATTCCATTTAGTGCTGTACATATAAGTGAAAGAATATGTATTTACAATTCCCAAAATATATTATTTCATGTTTTTAAAAACCAGAACCTCGTAAACATTGATTCAAAACTGGGAAAAAAGTTACAGCAAAAGTTGGCTGAACTAGCTTGTCATCTATACAAGTTATTAATTTCACTTATAATAGTAAATATCAAATATTGTATAATTAATACAATCAATTAAATTTAACTACATATTATATTTATTTCTGTTATAAATTATCAATATTTTTTAATTATATTGTTTTTGTATGGAAAATGTTTTTAATTTTATTAGTCATGTATATTTTTTCTTAATTTACAGGTATGTGTTTTATATTTATTTATTTTTTTGAAAAACTGACATATGAATGTTGTTTTAAATGAAAAAAGTTAAATATTACTATTTATTAATAAAAGATCTGTTTAATATTACAAAATAACACTATTCTATTTAAATTAAATTTACTTTTCATTATAAGCAATACATTTTTTTTTTTTTTTGACTAATTTTTATTATTTTCAAAAATAATTGATGCGATTATACAAATTTAATTTTAAATTAATGTTATTTATGATTGTAAGTGAACAAGAATGTTATATATATTCAACTATGATACATGTATTACGAGACAGATTATGTCAGTGATCTGAAACATCATATTTTTATAAACATTTTCGATTATTACATTTTTGTTTTCATCCTCAATTCCTTATTTTGTATTATGTTAGAATGATAATGATACATAAAAAATAATTTTGTATAGTAAATTGAGATCAGAGGTGTGATTTGTCTTTATTAAATGTTTTTCCTAAAAATACTGCCAGTCGAATGATAATTTCGTTTCAATTATTTAGTAGTTATAATTCAACATTTAATTCAATATTCATTTCATAAATTTATTTAATTATTAATAGTTATGGTTTTAAAATCTGTCAAACACTGTTTTATATTGGTGATATTTGCATTAATTCATTTATTGATACATTTTAAGTTAACACATTTTGGACAAATTCTGATGACAACAAACTTTTGTAAATAGTTGTTGTTTTAATTGGAAATGGTATATTCTATTAAATTAATAAATAATATATTTTTCAATTTGAATTAATAAAAGAATAAAATACAATGTGTTGAATTAAACATATTTTAATATGTTAGACATTTTAAAATTTAACATATTAAAAATATTGTATTATTGTAATATGTTCTCACTAATTGTAGAATAATTGTTGAAGGTATACATTATTAAAAATATATATACAGTAAAAATCAGTTACATAATGTAAAATCATTCAACAATTTTACCATTAAAATTAGTGTACATTTTTTATGTTTGTACCCGAAAAACTGTTCTTTATTTTTACACCAAAAAAATTCTCTAAAATCTACTCTAGTATACAAAATAAACATTTTAAACTATTAATTCCACAGTTGGTCTTAATTTTTAAAGATTTTTATTCTTAGAAAAAATGTTTGTCTCTCTTCAATTTTGTATTAGAAAATCATATTATTTGTGGGATTTGTATTTTTTCTTTTTAAAAAATATTTTAGTTTAAATCTAAACATAAATCATGTTTCAGTTGTAGTTGCTATGTACTTCTTATGATGAAAGTATTAGTATACTTTACAAATTTAATAATATAGAAATAATTTTTACTGCATTTAAAACTTAAAATAGTTAATTAACACAAATTCTAAATTCATTAAAATAGAGTAGGTAACTATTAAAGTGTTTTAAAATACCTAAAGTGTTATATAATATTAATATAACTATTGCTCATTTTTATTTTTTATGTTGACATCTTAATTTTTATTAATTTATTTGAATGTATAAATATCTTAATTAATATTTATTTGTAATTCCGAAATCTTTAATTTAATTAAAATTAAAAAAATTATAAAAAATATATTATTTTAAGACCTTTTATTGAATGTTCTGACAAATTTATTGAAACTTTATTTTTTCTAAATAAATTATGATTTTTTAAATTTAATTAATTTGTATAGTTTATGACATTACTATTAATGTTCCTAAATTATTCAAATAAAATCATTATTAAATTAAAATATAAAATATATAGCTATCAATAATTTGAAGTATATTTGGTGAAAAAATATTTACTAATTATTTTTAAAATACATACATGGTTGTATAAAAACTTAAAATATAGGGTTTAATAAATATTTAATTTATTTACATAAACATGTTTTTGATTGAGAACTTTTCAATATATTTTGTTTATAAAAAAATATTTTTAATGTATTTGTAGTATTTGTTTTTAGGAATATAAAAAAAAAAAATTGATGAACTATATGTATATATTTGAAATTTTAATTGTTAAATTAAATATAAACATACATATTTATTTGTACTTTGTTAGATATTAAATTCATTTGAGAAAATAAAATAAAATTTAGTTATACATTTTAATTTTATAATTTGTTAATATTTGAGAGAATTATGAATTTTGAGAATTTGCTCTTTTTATATAAAAACAGTAATGAAAATCGTTATTATTTTTCTATATCCTGAATCTGATAATTTTCTTCATCGTTTTTATTCTATTTAATATTTATAAGCAATAGTTTTATTTTTTGTCCCAAAATTGTTGGTAAATATTGTTAAAATTTGATTAATTATTATTTATTTTAAATCAGTTCAGTGTTATTTCAACTATAATTTTAAAACTCATAGAATTTAAAGTGTTAAAAAAAAAATGAAAGACAATTATTGTTGATCAAGAAAGGAACACAGCATTCATTCTGTACATTCATTTTGAACTGACAATTTAGTTAAATGAACTAAAAAGTATGAAATCCCATTTATTTATTAGTATTAAATGTTTGCCTATTATAACTAATTTATCATTTCAATATGAGAAACTTACTACCTACTTATGATTTGTAAATGCTTACATTTAATTATTTTTAATTCATTACATAAACATTACTATTTATTCCATTGGATGTTAATTCAATTTATGAAATTTATTAAAAAACATTTGTTTTTAATTACTTTAATTATTTTTAACCGCAGTTAAACATTACATATATAATTTAATTTGTTGAAATTTTAAAAAATTGATAGAAATCATCTTATTTTCATAAAACTAATCTTAGAATTTTAAGTTTAGATATTGATAATAGAATATTAAAATTAATTTTAATGTAGTTACAATTTTTTAACCTAATGCATTTTTATAATACAGTAAACATATATTTTATATGAATCTGTGTTATTTGGCTATACTTGTAAAAGAATGTTAAATTAGGTATGTATTATTTTCGATAAAAATGTATCCACTCTGATAGGCATAACCAACATAAAATATTAAACCTGTATGGGATATCTTTCATAATATGTGTATCCATAAACAATATAAATATAATATATCACGGTATAATCATAGAAATAACAGATTTTTATTTTGTCATGTAATTTAAAAAAGCCACCCATTAGCCAATGTAATGAAATTTCATATTAATTTATAATAATTAATAATTTCAAAATTAAATTTATATTTAAATTATAATTTTGGATCAATATTTAATTTTTGTGATATGATATATTTTATTAAATGTAAAATATTGTGATCTCTAGCAAATTATTATGCCTTTAAATACAATTTGAAAACAGACTTTTATGAGTTGCTCTTACAATTAATTAAAATTATATTCATCTATAAAAGTAAATTATTTTGAATTTATTATGCTGTAGAGTATAGATTATTCATCGAATAAAGATTGTCTTCTGGTAATGCCTATTATATATTATGTAAGATATTGTTTCTTATATTTTATTATAAACAAATACTGTTATTTGGCTGGTACTCATAATTATGCTGTTAAACATTAATTAAAAATAAAACATTTTAATATTATTGTTTTGAATTTGTTAATTTTTCAAAGATGGAATTTCAAGGTAAGACAAATTGCACCTTTGGTTTTGTGGTAATATTCGGACTAACAAATTAGTGGTATCACGAAAATATCTTATTCATTGGGTTTTAAGTTATAAATATTTCAGCTTTTCTTTTAGTCATTGTTTGTAATTATTCATTTGTATTGTTTTTTTTTCTAATTCCAAGTCTTAATGATTCCATAATATTGATTTTCTTTATTTGTTATCAAATGCATTTATATAAGAACCTCATTGGATTCTATTTTTGTTTACTTATTAGTCGTATTTGAGTATTTTTAAAATATTATTGTTTACTTCTTAGCTCATATTTTAGTTAAAATTCGTGCTGCCACATATTTTTTGGATTATCATTTTTAATTCTAATGTTCTTTACAACATCAATATGGCACACATTTTTCGCCCTTATATTTTTTTTTATCGATTTTTAAATCATTTCATTTTATTCGCAATTATAGGAGAAAAAAACCATCAAAATTTTGATGATCGACAAGCTCACTTTAATCCAACTCAGCAGATGCATTATGATAACGGCGCAGGTCAGTACTGTTTGCTGGTTTTTGGAGTGCTATTTAGTTTGCTGAATATTTTTCAATTTGACCTGTAATTTAGATAAAAATTACGGAATAATTCATATGAGCCCCAACCAGATGATGTCTCGTGATCGAAGTTTATCTCCTCGTATTAACATGGGTCGTCCTCCTTCTCCTCCTCTGCCTTACTCTCCTGAAAGAGATAACTTTAATTCTGACATGTTACGCAGAGATAGAGCTAAGCGATCTTTAGAAAGGAACGTTCATGACCGTCAACAAAGGCCAGAACATTTCTTAGAACAGTAATTAATTACACATTGTTAAATATTCGAATTTACATATTTATCATGCGGTATTATTATTTTAGACATAAAATAGAAAGCTTTTCTTCTGGCCCTCCAGAACCTAGATCACCAGAAACGCAACGCTTTAGATCAGGTGATCATAATAGGCATCGTATGAAAGAAGAACAAAGTCATTATGAAGATCGTCCTTCCAGGCGTAGCAGATCCCCTGTGTATTTTGGAAACAATTATCCATACAGAAGAAGTATGTCGCCTAATATCCGACCATTTTCTCCTCCTAATCATGGTCATTTGCCAATGTCTCCACCGCAATCACGTGAACTTTCTTCGCCACCTCTAAGAGATCGTCTGCCACATCCTGGTGATCGTTCTCGAAGAAGACGTTCGCCTCCACCTAGACGAGATCGTTCTAGAGACAGGCGTCGTCGCCTTTCTCCTAGAAGAAGAACACCGCCTCCACCCGTTCGAATACCAATAAAGCGTAGAGGTCAGTACAATTTTAATTTTTTTTCAATTTTGAGTGAAACAAGAAATGCATTGATTTTGCTATGTGTTTTCTTTTGTGTAGTTGGGTTCACGATATTGACCAGAAAAATTGTTCCGATATAGTTGGTACTTTGAAGAAGTAATTTTTTAATTTCTCAAAGGTTCTTAAGATAATTGAAAATTACGGATAAAAAATTTTACGAAACAGGTTGAGATTCGACACTGGCTATTATTTTGTCTAGTTGTTTTTTTTTTTTGTGTCCGTTAGCATTTTTCCAACAAAGGTAACTCAGTTATCCAAATAGGGTCGGATCATTTTTCGGCTGGTGGGTGGTTTTGTTTTGAATAAAAAAATGTGGATTTCTGTACGCAGTGATATAACTTAACTATTAATTATTCCACGAGAAAGCCAACGCACATTTGAGTGATGTTAACTAGTGTATTATGACTCAATTTCATCGCATATACGAGTAGCATTAATATTCAATAATTAACAGCTTTTGATTTTATACTTTATATATATTTTTTGATATTACCATAGAAATTGCATCTTTAGGAACTGAATAAAGTTCTTCTTGGATGGCTTGCGTCGCTAAATTTTTTAGGTGTAAAAAAACAATGCCATATAATAACATAAGGATTTATTTCTTACCTCGTTTACAAAACCCAATTCTTCTTCCGCCCAAAAGGGCTCCGCCAACACATATTCTAAAACAATTACTCCAAGTAAGATTATTAGTTTAAAAAAATTATCAATTTTTTTGAATATTTCTTAGCCAGTTGTAGCTGTTAATAGAGGTTCACAAAGTTAAAATTCTTCGATATAATCATTAGAAGTTCGATAACGTACGAAGATCATTAGTTGTAGATACATTAATTTCAATAACTAATGATTCGTCGATTTGAATTGAAAATCGTTTTGCTAATATATGTTCATTTATAAGCTGTTGTAAAATATTTTCAGACATATTATTGATTCATCGTTATCACAAAGGAGTAAGTCCAACTTTTTTGCAACATCATCTCCGCATACTCTTTTAAAAGTATTTGATAAAGAATCGTGGAATTGTATACAATAAACAATTATACCTATTATAATTCAAATTTCAAACTAATAAGTGATAAGACCCTTTGTAACCTCAATTTTTTCAATGATTATTCCTATATGATAAACTCTCATGGTTTATCCACTTTTTTTATTATCTAAGTTTAAATATCACCTATAGATCTTAGAGATACATTTTGATTTTTTTTTTTTTGTTTTTTTGATAATATTTAATTAGCGTAGATGCATTTATATTCTAAGTCATTCTGGGTCTGTTATATGAAAACACAAAGGTTATGATTTTTGTACATTGCAAAATAACGGTAATTAACAAGACCAGCAATGTTGCTGTAACGCCAGAGAACAACATATTGCGATATTGCATGTCCCAACGAAATGTCCTTGGGACATATATGAAATAATACATACATAAAACACAGTGGGTACCCATTAGAGATTATTTATTTAAATATGTTGTTTCTAAATTATTTCTTTTTATGAAGTATTCATTCTTCTTAAAAGATAAAATAATGACATCCTTGAAACATCTGACAGACTGTATACAGCTGCAACAAAAAAATAATTTTTGTGGCACGCAGAATCATGTTTTGTTCGTGGCGAACAACAATTTTAAGACTTTATACGTTTAATAAATTAATAATATACTTATAAGCGTCAAAAGCAACCTCCTCTCCTGACACCCCACTTTTAAATATCTTCTTTTTTTGTGTATATATAAAACAGTTAGCTGTTAACTGACTGTGCACTCAACGCTCAACTCAAACCATTGAACGGATCGGGCTAAAATTTGGTATACATATAACTATTATGATGTAAGAGTGCACTAAGAAAAGATTTTTGGAAATTCTACTTTAAAGGGGGTTAAAAAATGTAAAAGGGATAACAATTTAAAATTTTTTTTTTTTGTTCTGATTTTTTAAAAATTAAGTATAAATACTCTGAACAAACAATGTAGAACAAATAAAAATTGTCTATAAACTTAATTTTTTGAATTTAAACCCCTAAGGGATTTTTAAAAGGATTGAAAAGTGTAAAAATAGAAAAAACCGCAAAGCCGGGAACTGTTGAAGTTATGAGTATGAAATTTGGTCAGTAGACTCGTTTCATGATGTAGACATCCGTTAAGAAAGGATTTTTCAAAATTCAACCCCTAAGAGCATTAAATAGGTTAAAAAATTGTAAATATGAGAAAAACCACTTAGCCAAAACCGCTGAGGCTACGATAATGAAATGTAGTCAGTAGTTTTGTCTCACAATGTAGACATCCATTTAGAATGGATTTTTAAAATTAATCCCTAATGGAGTTAAGTTAAAGGGTTAAAAGTATAAAAATGGAGAGAAAAAAAAAGAAAAACTTTCTTAATCAATTTGATTTTAGCGAAAGTCAAATGTCACAAAGTACTCGTGACATTGTCTTAGCTGTAGCATCTTTTGGAATCGCAGCTACACTGCTCGAGAGTGGTCGAACTGCCACCTTCAAACTACCTCTCAATCTAACAACTTCGGTCACTCTCGTTAGTAATATATTAAAAACAAAGTAATTTTGCGGACGCTTTAAAAAATACAAAAATAATAGTGCGGGATGAAATTACAATGGAACATAAGGGTGATGTTGAGACTCTTAATAGATATCTAAATGATATAAGGGGAAATAAAAGGTTAATGGGTGTTGAAACGATTTTGCAGGCTGGATACTTTTGGCACACTCTACCAGTAGTACCAAAAGCGACTAGAACTGATGAAGTTAATAAAGATTTCGAAAAATATGAGGATATACTTGGAAAGGGAAAAGTTTTCTGGTAGATTTTCAGATCTTTTACTTGAAATTGAAAATAGATAATCATCTATAATTTGATAAAATAATAACTATCCCAGAAAATTTGTGCACAGTTATAACTACGGTTCAGGATTTAATATCAAACATTTATCCAAATATTGCTCTTATCCGTGATAAGTTTATAGAATGGTTATATGAACGTGCTATGCTCACTCCAAAAAATGACCAACCGGTGGCTATTAATGATACACTGCTGATGTTTTTCGATGGGGAAGAAAAAGTATATACTTCGATAGATACGGTGGTTAACATAGACGATGCAGTTAATTATATGGTTGAATTTGGAAATTTATTCAAATCACCGGGTATGCCATATTATAAGCTTATTCTGCGTGTGCACACCTATTATGTTATCGCGAAATTTGAAATCACCTAAACTGTGCAATGGAAACAAGCTTAATGTCAAAGCTTTATATCGCAATATAGTGGAAGCCACAATTTTAACTGGATGTGCGAAAGAGGAAACTGTGTTTGTACCAGGAATTCCTTTAATTTCGAATGATCTTCCGTTTGAATTTATACGATTGCAGTTTCCCCTCAAAGTTTGCTTGTTAATGACTATAAACAAGTCCCAAGGTCAGACTCAAATTTGCAGGAATAGACTTGCGAGAAAACTGGTTTTCACATGGGCAGTTCTACGTAGCTTGCTCATTCGTAAACTCACCCAGTAGGTTGGTGATTTTGTCGCCTACTGATAGATTAGCGAAGAATATTGTCTACATAGAAGTTTTTTAGATAACATTTTGAAAAACTATTAGTAAAACATTTATTTTAAATCTTCACTGCTAAAACTTATCGTAAACGGCCGCTAAAAATTATAATTTATAGAATTGGTTATAACAGTGCTTCCCAAACTTTTCCAACTCTCGACGCCCTTTTTGATCTAAGGATTTTTTTTTAATGCGCCCTTCTTCAAGTCATAGCATGACTAATCATAAGGATAATTTTAGACCAGATAGTATTTCATGACGGCGTGGCGCCTCTGTACAGACATCACGGCGCACATTTTGGGAACCGATGGGTTATGATAATAATTATTATCTTATAAACTAAATGAATATGTATAAAATATTATTTCAACCATCTCAATTAATTTTAATTTCAATAGATTAAACAAAATTTAATCTTGCTAGGTTACATAGATTTTTATACTTAAACCCGGCAACGACGGGTAATTCAGCTGGCTTATACATACGAAGATATGAAAAAACAAACAAGTTCTAAATCATAAATGGCTCAAACTATGGACAAATCAAAGTTAAACCAAATAAAAAACAACATACAGACATGGAATAATCCAGGACTAAAGAGGAAAGAAGAAACTATATTAAATCATCTAAGAATAGGGCACACATTCATCACACACAGGCATCTCATATAAAAAAACGAACCAGCTATATGCGAAATGTCAGGAGTGGATTACACAGTATAACATATAATCACTGAATGCCAAAAATACGAAGACCCGATGAAAAAATATTACAAAAAAATCAGAGAAGCACTGAGACCTGACCCTCAATCAACCACCAACATCATACTATTCATAAAAGAAATTCAACAAACAACTAAATTTAAGCCATACAATAACATTAGATAAATCTTTGTAAACTAATTTTAAGTTAATGTTAAACTAAAGGCCATAGAAGCCTATGTTTTATAAAAAGATCAATAAAAAAAATTAATAATTATATTAATTTATAACTAAAATAAAAATTAAATTTGTTATTAATTATTTATGAATTCCTATAAATCCATGAAATGGAACAAAATAAATTACATATTTATTTACGTTCTTTCTGTTATAAGTTATAATTCTTGCATAGATAAAAGTCAAGATAAATATATTACCTTAATAAATAGGGATGAAAATATCAAGCTTTAACGATTCCGGCACAGTTGCGGTCAATACCTTTTTGGTGGCAATTGCTGTCACTTTTTTTTTATACATATGAAATGGTTTTAGAATACTGGCGTATGCTGTTGATAATTGTGAACAATACTTTTTAATAGAATCTATATAATAGAATAAAATATAACTTTCCTTCACACTTTTACAGGTTTAGGACTGTCAATAAATACTCGTACTATTTAGTTTTTTTTCTTTAATATGTCAATTAATATTTATGGTTTGATTAAACAAGTTTTTGAATGAATGAAAGAATTTTTAAACATTTTTTTAATTCTCGATCCTCTTCGTATGATTTTAATGTTTTGTAATTTCTGCTGTTGAGTTCCATGTAACATTTTTTCCGTTTCTTTCCTTCTAAATTTAAAAAATGTCGATTAATCAATAAGTCACTTCAGCTACTAAATTTTTATAGAGCTAAAAAAGTTGGTCGAGGTCTATTAATTTGTTTGATTGATTTGCTGTTCCAACTTTCAACAATATTATTTGTCCTATGCCTTTTTTGGTAACAACTCTATATATTCTTTGACATTATTGCATTTTCGAGCCACTGTTCTACAAAATAATCATGAAGAAATTTAAGTTTTTCATTATTAAGACTGTTTTCCATAATAATTAGCCAACCTTCGTCAATATCTTGAAGTGGAATAAAAGCTAAGGCCGAACACATTCTAATACTAAGGTGGATTTCTTCATTATCTCTATACTCTTCTACTAGTTCTATATTTTGTACTTTTCGCCATAAGATTGGTTGAAATGATAATTACAGCCACTTATTTGAGTATTAGGAAAAACATCTTTAATCGCTTGAATAGTTGCTGCTTCAAAATCAATTGTAATTAATAGTTACTAATTATATTGGGGTTGAAATTTGGAATATACTCTATTGTAAGTTTAAATAATCGAATATGAATAATTTTTGTTTTGTTTGGAAGCAATACAAAAATTACTGGAATTACATTAGTTTCATTCGATGTGTTTCCAATATCTACATGTTTTGTGTATATTTGTAGGAATTGTTTGCTACAACTTTTAAATGTTCTATCAAAAAAAAAAAATTGTATAAGAAGATGCGGCTTCTCGTTGAGCACTGCTTGAAAAAGCAATAGTTCTTTCTTCAATATTTACTTCTCATCTACTACTACATCATCTTCTTTCAACATCATCGTCAAATAATAAAAATTGGTAATTGTTACCAAATTGTGAAATATCATCAGGTACAATTATTTCTCCTTTTGAATTTGGATCTAATGTATTACCAAGTATCCTTTTTTTAATCCTGTTTAAAGTTGTCTTAGCGGAAGCGTATATAGGAAAATTAGTAACATGGTCATAGCCTTTTTGAAATAAAGAAGTCATCTCTTGACGAAAAATTTGAGATGATGTACATGAAAACTCTTCTCGCACTCTTTTTCTCTTGCATTAATAAATTGTTCATTTACTTTACTTGTTGCCACATCAGATTTACATGAATAATCAGAGAATTCGATTATTTCTAAATTGTTAGTTCTCATACCCGTACACTTATTCTTTTTTTTATCCAGACACACCCAAGCTGTCTCGTTTTCATTTTGTCTGTATTTTCTAAATTGATAACCATTAAAAATTGCTAAAGGCTTACCTTTTGTTTTTCTATTATTTTTATTTCTTGACTAACTGCATCTGTGCCGGAATCCATGGCCTAACACGTCTTGTCGACAATTGAATGAAAACACACGTATCAAAAAATACAACTGCCCACCGTCATCGAAGTGTAATATAATAATTATTATTATCGCAGTAACGATTTTTACTATCGTCTATCGATATCGTTGTACCAAATTGTTTATAAAAATAACATAAAAGAAGGAAAGTTTGGTTGGAAAGTTGTACTATGTTATAATTATTATTATAGTACATTAAAACCCGTCCATAGGTTTAAAAATAAAGTGACCACAAGTGCCACCAAAAAGGTATTGACCGCATCTGTGCCGACACCATTAACAATGCTAGAATAATTACAGTAAAAAAAAAAAACTGGAAAGCGCGAGAATTTCACAGTTTTTATTTATTATTTTAATTTATATAACTTGGTCAATTTTGAATTTTAATAGTTGATTAAACTACCAAAACTCATTAAAAAATTAGTACCTAGTTAAAATAGGTGATTGCCAATTAATAATTTTTTTACTGCTCATGCATTTGTTTAATTAAGTTACAAAATTCAAAGGGCAAATTTTTTTTTTTTTTTTATGTTATAACAACCAACTAAAAAACATAATTTAAATTGCAGGTCTCTACGCAAAGATATCGAGTGTTCTCAATCAGCGTTTACACACTATTTTGGTTTCTAGTTTAAAAGACAAATACAATAATAACATTTACTAGTACCTGTACCTATCTCACCTAACCTTAGAATTTCATTCGGTTTTGTAATTAAAAATACATAACATTTTAAATTTATTAACTAAGACTTCTTGTAAATTGAATTAAACTATATGTTTATATCTAATTTCAAATCAATGTGAATTTAATATATATAGAAATGCGGGTTGATTACATTTTGCTAATAGTATTGATTAGTAAAAAGTTAAACTGATATTTTTATTAGAATTTTTAGTAAATACTATTTTTTACATTTTTACAAAAATAATTCTCACAGGTAATATTAATTAGTATTTGTATTGTAATTACAATTAGTATTTTATTTTGTTCTCAATAATTGATATAATTTATTCAATAGTGAATATCAAATTTTATATCATATTTAATATATAATTTATAGTTATATTTATGTTTTATATTCAAAGTACTTGAATGAATATTAACATTTATGTCAAAATATTCTGTATTTTATTATTAATAATAAAAATATACTATTGTGCTGTTTAGAAAACGGTTTTAGTAAAAAGCGAGGATCTTACAAAAATCAGGAAGCACGTAAACGAGAAGCCAAAGAAAGAAAAAGACGATCTCAATCCAAGTCAAAATCTGCATCACAACAAGTAATTACATACATCAAATACAAATCGATTTAGATAGTTATTTTTTAACTTTTAAGGATCAACAACAAATTGCATTCCAACAACCTCAACCACAGCCTATGTATCCACCCCCACCACCACCAGGTGTAGTACGCTTGCCCCCACCGCCGAGACCTTTTCCTCCTGGACCAATGATGATTCCATTACGTCCACCTCCGTTTCCTCCACCAATGGGAGGTTGGAGACCAGGACGACCGCCCATGCAAGCGCCTCCACCTTCAGGTTGGCCATATCCACGTAAGTTTCAGACATTTTTAATTATATTTCTGTTCAAATACCTTTTTTTATTAAATATAATTTAATTATTGGAATGTCCCTAGTTAAATATATTAAATAATATTTAATTTATTGGTATAAATTAATAAACAAATTCATAATCTCAGTTGTTGGAATTAATATACCAATAGCATATTTTTGTGATTTACTGCTATTTTAAATATTTATAATTAATCACGCGAAAAATTCAATTCTTCTGTTTACGTAAATATATTGCATTATCAAACGTTGTCAGTGTATATCTGCGATCATATTAAAAACTTATTTTAAAATAATAATAAGTTACATTATAGGCTTTATTGTTTGAGATTTATTTAGTTATTTCTAGTTCTTATTTTTAATTTTATTTGTTGAAACTATATTTTATATAATTTGGCATTTTTTTGTTGTAAAAAAATATTTCATATTTTTGTTTTTTATTGCATTCGTATTCACATTAATTTCGAGCCATAATCATTAGTTACTGGTTAATAAATCAGTTAAATGCTTTTGTTTGAAAAAAAAAGTAAATTTATAATATTTTTTATTTTATAATTGTGTTGTTGGTTAGGTTTTGTATGATATTAAAATCATGGCATAATATCATTGAAAAAAAATATTCATACTTATAATTTGATGTTTAATACATAGTTAGTTTATAGTCAATTATATATATTTAATATATAGATAATAATAGTTGGTTGTTTTATATGGTGATCTGTCGAAATATCTTCGTTAAAAATATCGCCTATACAAAATATGTCCGTAAAAAATATTTCAGTTTTGATTATTATTATTATTTATTATAAATTTAAAATTTCTTAAAAAAAAGATTCCTCCAAAATACTGAAGAGCTGTTTTTTCGTTGAATTTCTACGACACGTTATAGTCTATCGTCATGGTTCTTATATTTTTTACTTTTTTTTAGACTTGGCTCTCCAGAAATTAATTTTTCTAATTTTTCAAAAATATATTATATTTCTAAAATTCTCTTGGAAATACTCATTCGATATATATATATATATATATATATATGTATATTATTAATATGATGTATAATATCTAAATTAAAAATATTCATTTTTTTTTTCATAAAATTCCTTTTACCGGAGAGATTTTGACGGAGATATTGTTATCAGAGGAATTTTGATACCAAGAAGTTGAAAAGATGAGGAGACCAATGACAATAAGTGGAGGTGTGACAGGTGATGCTGAGAACTTTAAATATTTAGGATCATTTGTACAATAGGACGGGAGCTTTAGTTTGAATGTAAAACAGGAATCCATTAGTCCCCAACGTTGCGTAAACGAAACATTTCAAAAATTATTTTTTTATTATTATGTTATTATACCAAATTACTTTTTAACTATTACAACTTATTCTTAACAGAACAATAATTATATTTATTATGATTTAATTTTTACATATTTATGAACTTAGACGAAATCTGGAATTTCCTATACTATATTTTCATCGATTTATTTTCGTGACTCAGAGTACAATGTGATTTTCCAAATTATCAATTTATGTTTACAAAGTCATTAGTAAAATGGAGATAATATCATATTCGACTTTTTATTTATAGTTTTTTCGTAACTAGCCGTTTTTATTATTGTTGCGTCTACGCAACATTGGGATCCTAGCGTAACTATAGTCGTCAATGTTTCCCGCCGTTATTTATAATGCACGTGTAATAAAATTTTATCAGTTTCGTGCGATTATTCATAGTGAATTGTTGTATATAATAATAATAGTTTATTCAGTGGAATAAAACGGGCTGGGGCCCAATAGTACAAATAAGTATGAATACAAATACAGAAAAATACAATATTAATAATATTACAAGCAACAAATATCTTAGGTATATTAAGTTAACAAAAATCTAAAAAGGGAAAATAGTATTCAATTTGAAAGGCAAACCCAGCATTACGTATTTGTATTGTTCATGTGAGCGTTTATTATCTCCTTTAAGGGAGAGAAGAAAAAGTCAACTCTTGTCGAAAGTGTATTGCATAGAGCCATAGCCCTAGGAATAGGTGAGTTTTTTAAATAGTTTATGCTATATACTGGAATGTAAAACAGAGATGTGGAACGATTATTGTAAGCTCGAATAGAAAAGGGGATGCAATTTAAAATATCAGGATTATCGGTGATACCATTAATTAACTTATATATAAAAGATATATCTGCTTTTTCACGTCTGGATATAATTGTATAATTATATAAATAAATTACAAATGATCAATATTGATTTGTGAAATGCAGTTTTAAAAAAACATTGAATTGAAATAACTAATTAGATGTGTATAACACAATTTTTTTCATACATTTTTTCCTAAAATAATTTCTATCGTTATTGCGATATCTTGGGAAAACGAAAGACCTTTGTCAACTGCTGAGTTATTGGCCATATTGAACGAAGATAAAGATTTATGGCAGATTGATACCGTTGACTGATGCCGTGTACATCCTACCGCCTGTTGACGAAGTTACAGACGAAAAAGAACTTGAGGATGAAATATATGAGAATGTTATAAATTTGCCAGATATCGCCGGAACTTATGAAATACATGCAAGTTTACCTGACACATCTGAAGACTGTGACAGTCAATCAGTACCGTCAACTTCAAAAAAAGCAAAAGTAAGTAAAAAAACTATAAGTCAAAGACAGCTCTTCCAAAGTGGAAAAAAGAGGTTCCAACATATACAACAGAACCACAAAATGAAGAAAAAAAAAATTTAGAAGATATTGAAAATAGAATTGGTGGTAAAACGCCTATTGAAGTTTTTTCATTATTTTTCAGTGACGATGTTTGGGAAAAATAATTTTTTATACAAAAAAATATGCTAATGATTAAAATCGTCATTCATTTACAATTGACAAAACTAGCCTAAAGCGCTTTTTTGGTATACTTATTTTTTCGGGATATCATACATTACCTGCTATAAAACTTTATTGGTCTAAAGATGAGGATAAAGGAATTTAATTGGTTAGAAAAAGTATGAGTAGGAACAGGTTTGATTCTGTAAAGCAAAACATACATTTATCAGATAACGATCAACTTGATAAAAATGACAGATTTTCAAAACTAAGACCTCTTTTTGATTTGATAAATAAAAAGAATATACAGTTTGGGATATTTTTTCATAACCTTTTTATCGATGAGGAAATGGTTCCATATTTTGGTCGACATAGTTGTAAGATGTACATCAAAGGAAAACCAATCAGATTTGGCTTCAATTATGATGTCTATGCAGTTCCAATGGTTACTTGTACAAATTCATACCTTATGGTGGAAAAACAAGTACTTATGAAAATGAATTAGGACTGGGAGAAAATGTTATACTGGAGTTATTGTAAGTTCAGCAGCCATCAGTTCATTGTGTATTTTTTGACAATTTCTTTCCTTCATACAAGTTATTCAGTTTGTTGAACGAAAAGGGGTTTTAAGCTACCAGAACAATACGTGAAAACCGTACATGTAATACTGTGATAGAAAGTGTGAAAAATATAAAGAAAAACGATCGTGGCTCTTATGATTTTTCTTTTGACAATGATCAAAAAATATTGTTGGTCAGATGGAATGACAATTCTGTGGTAACTGTTGCTACTAATAACTGTACTATTGAACCTCTCGTGAGTGCAAATAGGTACAACAGAAAAGAAAAAAAAGACTGTTTCAATTCCTCAACCAAAAGTTATAGCTAATTATAATCAACATATGGGAGGTGTTGATTTGCATGACAACGGTTAGAAAACTATAGAATCAATGTAAAAGGAAAAAAATGGTGGTGGCTTCTCTTTGTGAATTTGATCGATAGTGTTACTGTAAATTCCTGGAAAATATACAATTTAGCAAATAAATCAAAAATGTCACAGACTTCAAATCCTACGTAGCAGTTTTCTTATGAAAATGAATGAACCAGTGATGGAAGATAATATTCAAGGCTAAGATATTGCAACGTCAAGTAACCAAATAAATTTACCTTCTAATCCAAATTATGGATGACCATCTAAAAGCGCATTACCCATGGAAATTTGACTTGACAATGTAGGTCACGTGATAGTAGAAGATAAAAATAAAGCGAGAAGACGATGTAGACTATAAAAACAACACTATATACATGTGTGTCAAGTGCATCTTCATGCAAACTGCTTTGAACAATTTCACTCAAAATAATATACATTGGTAATCCCAATGTTGCGTATACGCAACATTTTATTGTAAAAAAACTAGTAAACTAAAAAAATTTTTAATTTTAAAAATTGTTATTTAAATATATATTAAACTAATAAAATTCAGTGAAAGTATAAAATTTGTTTTTTTTCCAACCTTGGGAACTAATGTGCAGGTGGATGAAATGGAGAGACGCGTTTCGGGTGTTTTATGTGATAAGAGAATTCCAATGAGAACGAATGGTAAATTTTAGGGAGTTAATTGGTTCCGCCGAAGATTTATATATGTATATAAGAATTTAACATATATATATTATAATATTAAAACATTTCCGGATTTTGTAAATACATAATATTATTTCCAGCAGATTTTCTACTAAATACTGACATAGTAAATAATATTTTATTCTACTCTTGAAATTCTAATTTAAAATTGCTATGCTCTAGTGACAAAATATTTGTAGTTGGTACATTTCATAGTTTCCTAAAATATTTCTATCAACTGTTTACGGTTCATATTTTTAAAAATAGAAATTATGTCCCATTATCCTATTTATTATTGCCAGACAAAAGCACAAATACATAGGCTACTGCATTTAGATGTATTATAAAAACATGCTCAGCTCAAAATTAATATATTTCAATCCAACTACAATTGTTGCTAATTATTATATATATTATTATTATTTATTTATTTTATAAAATGTATATGTTTTTTTTTTCTTTCGCATTACTATACCGTCGTGCTAGATATGGTATATATATATATGTTAAGGTGTATGACCGCAATAAGCGAATGTTGAT